TTCTAACTTCCCACTCTGACTTCTTTCTAAGAGGGTTTAAAGCCCTTTTCAAAAAATACCCAAGCCACCTCAAAAGAAATAAAATATAAAGAAGTAATCCATATCCATGAATGAAACATGGGGTCTCAAGCAGTTATGAGAAGACATCAAGTGCTGATTCATGCTCAGTGTGGATGAGCTTGGAAAACATGCTGAGTAAGAGAAGCCACATGTCAGAGGCCATGTGTTAAAGACTTCTGCAAAAATATCCAGGATAGGCCAATTCATAGACAGGAAGTGGAGGATGGAGGGCATGGGGGCTGTGACTGCTCGTAGTACAAGATTTCTTTTGGGGTGATAAAAATATTCTGGGCTCAGACAGTGATAATGGCCCAACCTTGTAAGTTTGCAAAACCTTCTGAATTGTATACTTGAAAAGGGCGAGTTTTGTGGATTGGGAATTATATCTCAACAAAAAATAATAATCAGTCAGAGTTGGAGCAGGCAGTAAGGGCTGGAAGAGTGGTATGGACAGCAGCAGCTACGGCCAACAGTGCCCAGGAGGAGAGGGGAGGACCCCAAGGAGGGGCAAAGCTGCCTCCTCAGGAGGGTGGCGCTGGGGACTGCAAGGGGGCGGGCCCTGCATGTGGTGGGAGGGACACCAGCCCTTTGGAGCATGTTGTAGCCTACTTCAGTGCTCTCAGAGATGTCATTTTCCTTTTTAAAAGGACTTATTGGGAAGTGATTCAAATTTATAGAAAAGTCACAAGAATATAGCAAAGACCGCCTGTCTGCTCTTCACCAGGAGATCGCCCATTCGCTTTATCATTAGCACCTGTTCCCTTCCCCAACATACACACTGTTTTCTGAAAGACACATTTCCCCTAAATAATTTAGTATGTGCTTCCAAAAAAAAAATCAGGATACTCTCTTCTGTATCCATAGTACAGGTATCAACTTCTGCAAATTGAACATGATACACCACCTGTATCTCACTAAGGGAAAGGGCTGATTTGAATGTCAGCCTTGGACACTGTGAGAAGGGACATCACAGTGGGGCTTGGCTTCTCTCTTTTACTCTATGCAAACCTGCTCATCCCTGGGGCTCCTCCCTCCTCATCCTCTTCCTCAGAAGCAACCGCTTTGCTCACTTATATCCACTTCCTTCCTCAGCCTCAGGATCTTTGAGAACCTTTGAGTCTGTTCCTTAAACCTCCTCTGACACAGAGCTGAGGGCACCAACTAAAAGCACACTGAGTTGGAGAGTTTTTAGTTCAGTTGACCTTGCTCTCATGCTGCTTCTCCTTGTCTATTTTGTGAAGGAATAAGTCTATCATATAGTAAGTATCTCCACGATTCCTTGGAAACCAATTTCCTTTAGGGTCAGAATAACTTCTCATCTTGCTGCCCAATATGAATTATTGAAATAAAATATTAGGACAGGTCCACTTGGGCTAACCTTTTTTTATTTCCTTCCATATAGCATACAATTTGCTAAACCCCTAGTATACACCAGGCCTCTGTCAGGAGTTAGAGAGAAAATTATGAATCAGATCCCCCTTCCTGTCTTCAGGGTCTTGAACTCAATGGGGAAGATGGTCAAATCGATGGACGATGACCATACCTTGTCCATCTTGATGGTCATTGTGCATTATTTGGGGACCTTCTTTAAGACAAGGGGGCAAGTGGATTTATCTCAAAATCAACTGTAAAACCCATCCAGCAATGCAGGTCACAGTGCTGAGCATGGTGTTGCAGAAGTGCACAGCAATGTAGCCTTTCTATCATGGGGCTTTCTGCCTATTGAGAGAGATGGGCATCAACTCAACCAACGTGTATTAGAGACTATCAGGTGCGAGGCCATACAGGAGGAGGGAGAATGGAAGACAAGAGTTCTATGTCATCTATTTGGGAGAGATCTCCAAGTCCTAGACCAATGATGGACAACAGCAAATGAGTATTCCAGAGATTTCTCCCTCCCTGAAGATTGAAGACAACAGCCTGTGACTAGAAATTCTCTAAGACCTTGGAAGATGTGAAGCTTAGGATGGCCTTGAGGGAAAAGGAGACTTATTCTCCCTTTAGAAGAATGTAGAATTTTCTTTTCAAATTGCTCTTGGGAATATTAATGCATGCAAAAAGCTAAATCTCCTTCCTTGGTCCCCTGGGTCAGTCCTTCCTTAAGGAAAATCACCATGAAGAGCTTCTTTTACCTCCTTGCAGGGAACATATACAAACATCTCCATGCAGGCTCCCCACCCCACTCCCTTGTTTCATGCACAGGCTCTGCACCTGGCTTTTTTTTTTTTTTTTAATTTAGACAATACGCTGTGGCTGTGTTCTTTCATTGGCTGCCTAGCAGGGAAGAACCACACCATATTTAACCAGCCACACTCTGACAGAATTTATGAAGCTTCCAGTCCTTTGCTGTAACAAACAATGCTTCAACGCACTGGGGAGGAAAATGGGGAGGAATAAAATTGTACATAAAGTATGTAATATGGTCAAGGTCAAATATTATTTTAGAAATAGGGAGATTTAACAATCTGTAGAAAACAGATTTGTGCCGACAAAAACAGACTTGAATGCACAAGATAGTGGGGAAAAAAAAATTAAGAACCCACAGGTCAGTTTATTACCAACTGGGTTTACAAGATAGAGAAAAAAGTAAACGTCTGGCCTGTAGCATAATATTGCTCATAGAGGTATAAGATGGCTCGTGCATACTTACAAGACAACCAACTAGCATCAGGGTCATTCCCAAGGACAAAAGACAGCAGGTGCATAAGCAGGTGTACTCTAGTCACAGAGGCAGGTGACCCTGGAGGACCACCTGAGGGAATGGGGGTGTGCCGATGGTATTAGGAAGGAAAGTGGAGAACAGAAGGAAGAATTTGGAGGGTGTATAATTGTAAATCTGTGCACAGGGGTGGGAGTGCTCTGGGGTTCGAACAGGCCTTGCTGGTCAACTCAGCTTGGTGTCCATCGTGAGTTCTACTGCTGTCCCTGAGCTACTGACCAGTTGGCCTCTTTGCCTGGAGGGAACCAAGGACCAGTCATATGGTTCTAGATAAAAACACTGGCAAGAGAGCCATGAAGGTACCTCCCTGATTAATTAAGGAGCTTCTCTGCCTCCGTTTACATTCTACAGAGGACAGTCCTGAAAAAGTGACTCCTGTAAGAAAAATTCCCAGAAGTAGAATTTCTAAAAGATAATATGCAATTTTGTATTTTGAAGGGGAATATAAAATTGCCCTCTGAAAAATTTTCTGTTCCCACCTGCCAGGTATGAGGGTACCTGCTTCTCCATGTTCCCTTCCAACTCAGTGTGTTAGCAAAAGTCTTTGTCTTTGACCACAGGATGAATTGTATCTGAAAAGCAGTCTTATTAGCATTTGTCTTATTGTGAGTGAGGTTGAATATATTTTTCTTATGTTGAAAAGTCATCTGTTAGGGTTTTTCCCCCCCTGGTACACTGTTCGTGGCCTTTGTAGACATGAACTATTAGGTTGGCAATCTTTTTCTTATTGACTTACAGCAGCGCTTTATATATAAGGAAATCAGGTCTTTGCTGCGACACTCTAGTTCTTTTTCTTGGTTTGTTATTTATCTGTTGACTTTGAGGAATTTTCCCCTTCCAGGAATTTTACGTTGTTAACCATCAAATTTGTTGTCTTTTCCTCACTGGTTTGAAATGCTATCTTTACCATATGATAAAATGGTAGCATAAAATTCTTTAAAAGAGAACAGAGGGAGCCTGGGTCAGTCGGTTTAGCTAGAATGGGGGTGTGTGTGGAAAATGAGATTGGGAGGATCTTGGCTGGCTGAGAGCCAGCAGGAGCCAGGCAATGGCTGCAGGGATTGTAGCTACAGCTTTTGGCATATTCAGTCTCTCAAGACCTCACATGTGATTTGCCTGGGAATCTGTCATTGCAGACGCTCATCACCTGGGAAGGCGATGTCCTCGTGGCTGTGCAGAAAGGGGAGAAACCGAATCGTGGCTGGCGGCAATGGATAGAGGGGGACAAGTTGCACTTGGTAAGTCCTGGGGTCTGCCCAGCTCCTTCCACTCTGCCTACATGAACTTCTGTGGCCACCTGGCCAGGGGCTTTGACAAGAAAAAAAAAAATGGCTCTGTGCTCCTCCCCTGAGCTCCAGCCAAATGTATGTGGTCATATAGTTAGAAAGTCATTGCCATCTGGCTCAGGGGACTCCAGGAAGAAAATCTATATGGCTGTTTCTGTGAACGACCGCAATTAAAAAGCAAGTTGAAAATGCTGAGTTAGGAAGCCAAGATCCAAGGAGAAATGCAGGGAACCCGTTAAAGACCAACCGAGGAGAAATGCGAGCCACAGAATTAAAATGCCCTGGAGGAGGGCAGGACCAAGCCTTCTCTCAATGAAGGTGGGATGGCTTGTGGAAGAGGGAGCTGGTGTCTGGGCTGCCCCAGGCACTGACCTCCCATCATGAGGTATGTCTGCCTGACCCCTTCAGATTAATTTGGCACTAGAACAGAATAGTAGGAACAATGGCCGCTATCTTCAAATAAACTATCTGGACAGCTTAATTTTTCATTCTTCAATCTGGAAGGGCAATTTGTAAGCCCAGCATTCAAATGCTGAAAAATGTTTTCCTCCTTCATGCATCTGTTAAATCAATGTCTGTTCATTCATTCTCCTGTGGAGCTGTTTGGTTTGAGGTATTTTTTTTTGGGGGGGGGGCGGTGCTACAGATTGAACCCAGGGCCTTGTGCATGCGAGGCAAGCACTCTACCAACTGAACTCTATCCCAAGCCCAGGCAGGTCATTGGCTCCAGTGTCAGTATCCAGGTCACCATGGTGCCTTTCAGAGCCAGACTTGCTTCACCTGAGGTCTTTATTTCAGAGGCAGTGTCAGCGATGATATATGGAAAGCATTCTCTGTGTTTTCTACTGACAGTTTTCCCTACCTGCAGTGGTTTGTATGATGGATTTTTTTAATTGTAGTACCATCCCAGTGGTACCTGGGGATGAGACAAGAGATCTATTGCCAACTGCAAAGAGCATGGGGGTCTTCCCCACACTCCTCTTTTTCCTCCTCCTTCAAAGATCAGTGAGGGGCAGATAAGATCTGGGGCTCTCTCTATTTGGATGAAAAACAGGACCTGGTCAGCCGCAGGGCCAGACTTGGGGGAACCATGCTGCAGTTCACTGTGCCACTGCCAGACACCAGTCTGATCACCAGAGCCCCAAAAGCTCACAGAATGGAAGGGCAGCTCATCCTCCCCAGTCCTGGCCTTCCTAACACTTTTGCATACTGGGTAGAGGGGGCCTGTGGTTTAAGAGTCCTCTCCTTGTGACTCCACTACCATTTATAAATTAAGCCATGTTGCTTTAATCATGGGAGTAGGAAAAATCCCGCCCACGAGGGTCATTTCTTTACATTTTTCATTTTTATAGTTGTTCAAGCTCAATTCGAGTGTCAAAAATCAAATTACTGCTATCTGCAGGGCATGCCGGTGGATTGGGTCTGAGGAATGCACTTTGCCCAAAATGACTAAGTGTCCTCTTTATTCCAATCCCCAGTCCCTATCCCAGACACCACAAAGGCCAGATGCTGGGTAACTGGAAATCCTGGCTTATTAGCCACTCATCCACTTTCTGTCATTTGCAGGAGCTGACCTGTGGTGACCAGGTGTGCCATCAAGTGTTCAAAAAGAAGTGATGGGGCATGGGATGCCTGCCAAGATGCAGAGTTCTCTATGGCTTCAGGAAGCAGCATGGGGACCCTCTCACTCCTGATAGAGCCCCACTAATGTCCCTGGATGCGTTTTAAACAGAACGAGTGTAATAGTGACAAGCATATTCTTCCCCATTTGAAACCTGGCATTATTAAATGGAAAAACAAAACTCATTCCCAGGATTTGAAACCCTTTATATCTATCTCCCTTTATTTCTAGATGGGTCAGTTTTGCCCACAGGCAAAGGAAGTCACTGCCAGTGTGATTTTTTTTTTGCATGGCTTTACCATTAGTTGATTTCATTTCGTTTATTTGTGTGTGTGTGTGTGTGTGTGTGTATGTGTGTTGTTGTTTCTCTTTTTTTATTAGTTGGTTTGTGGGAGTGGCAGCAGAGGACTTTTTTACTGAGAAATATTCTCTGGCCAGCACGATATTTCCTACTCTTTCTTAAGCATCCCCCATTTGAGAGACACCCCTTTGGATATAGCACATTAGTTCTCAAACATTCTGTTTTAGATACACACGCCTTCCAGCCTGCACCTTGCACTGAGCAGACCACACAAAGATGTTCCAGAAGCCTAGCAGGTCTGGGGTGCCAGCTGTTCTGGGCCCTTTGCTCTTGGTCCCTGTACCCCAGAGTGCACATCCATCCAACCTCATTATGTTTTCTCCACTGCGCCCCCTGCAGGGCAGTGCAGGCATTGCACCAAGAGGCCTGAGTTCAAGTCAGGCTGTTCCACTTATTAGCTGGGTGGGGGGGGCGTGGGCACATCCTTTGGCTTTTCTGTCCTCGTTTTTCCTCTTCTATTAATGGAGAACACAAAAATAGCATCTCCTTCATTGGGCCACTCTGACAACTAAGCAAGTTAATAGGCACAACACTTGCAAGGGGCAACGCACAGAGGTAAGGACTTGGTCCCTGCTGGCTTGGACACTCCTGCTGAGCTGCTCCCCTGGGTCCTGGCCAGGGGATGCTCAGTGGTGATGGGTCAACATTGCTGAAGCCTCCTGGTGCCTTCAGAACCTCAGGCTTATTGCTCTGAGCAGAATTGTCTTTTCCTGCAGAATACACAAAGGGAATCATGCACCTGGAAGGACAGAGGGCCCTGGGCCCATGGGATCAAGGCCATCTCCTTCATCCTGCTGGAAAGAGCCCAGAATCCCACCTTAGGCAAGCTTTTCCTTGGAAATGCTCTTAGGTTTAACCCAAGAGATAGAGGACCTGGTATTAGCAGACTATGGAATAATTTGAATGATCATATTTTTTTCAATGATCTTGGGCATCCTGGGGCTAGGGAAGGATAGGAAAGCTAAAATCCAGCCATGTGGTCCAGGGCCAGCCTTGGCTCAAGCCTGTGACCTGAAGGCCATGCAATGGGCCTCTGGTAGGTTGTGCCTCCCCACGACCATGCCACGTACCTGCTACAAGAAGCCAGGAAAGTGCCTATCTGGAGCTTCCTGCTGGCTGGGGAGCCATGTGAGGGACACAGTGCTCCCGCAGGAGCCCTATGAGTCAAGTCAGTGAGAGGTTCTAGGGAGGCAGGTAAGCCTCCAAGCAGATGCAGGCCCTGCCCCATGGAAGACAGGAGTGAATGAACAGACTCTCGTGAATGCTTTGTCCCTACTTTATCAGAGCTTCCCCAGACAATGCCCCTCCAGTCTTGCCCTTGCTTGCTGCAACCTCAAAGGACCCTCTTCTTTATCCTTATTGAATTACATAGTGTCTGAAGCCCACTGGAATCTAAATGTTCTGTGCAGGGAAGGGATTTTTGATCCTGGATTCTGAAAATTGTATTCTAGTGGCTGTTAGTCACCTAAGATTTTGTGAAAAGGCCCATGGTCAAATGTGGGGAATTATATACCCTTCCTAAAAATTCAGAGAGGATTAGCATTTTTAAAGGCACCGAAAAGTCCTGCAGCAATGGAGTCTAGGCTCTTAAACCACAGGCCCCCTCTACCCAACAGAGTGTTGCTCCACAGAACTGTTCAAAGCACTAGTAGCACTGTATTAGAAGCACTGTGCTCATTCCCTAAATATGGAGACCTCTTTTCAATGACAGAAAACAAACAATATAATTTAAAACTCTCATTTTCCAAATGGAATAGTCCCAGCATGTTTTTCCTATTTGTGAAGAGTAACTGAGTGTGTTAGTTTACGTGTATGGCAGAAGACTGATAGTAACAGTATTCATTCTTTTTTAAAATCAGATGCATCTGAACTTGAAGAAGTAAAATTTGCAGTCCCATTTCCAAGCTAGGGTAGATGTTTTGGGCTATGGCTTCTCTTACATTCCTGCACCCACAAGCCTCATTCCCTGCCTCCTGTTTCTGGTTCCTCAGCTTATTCCGAAACCAAATCATGGCAGGACTGCTTCACCCCCGCCCCAAACAGCTTCTCTGGAGCACAGTGGAGGATTGCCTTTGAAAACCCACTGGGACTTGTCCTGGGGAGGGGAGGCCAGAGGGAAGGACTCTTGGAACCTCAGAACCCCAGGGAGGGTCATGACCAGGTTGCAGTTAGCTATACAGCATGCGGGCCTGTTCCCGAAAAGTTAAAAAAAAAAAAGCCTGTCCCATGCAAATCCCAGCTCATAAACGCATCACTAACTGGCTGGAGCATGGGCTTTGGACTCATCCATTGGTTCAAATGTGGACCCCACCACCCTCTAGCTGTCTGGTTAAATGACAGTTACCTCCCCTCCCGAAGCCTCTGTTTCCTCATCTGTAAAATGAGGACTATAGAAACTGCTTCAGGGGATAGTAAGGGTTGAGTAAGATCCTACCATAGCCCCTGAAACAAGTCAGTTACACACACACATACACACATACACACACACACACACACACACACACCTCCAATGTCACATATTTATACATACTGGTGTGACAAGGTAGTAATTTCCTTCATTCAAAACCTCCATGCCTCCTCAAAGCTTTACACTGGGATCCCTTACCAAAGGTGTTTTCAAGCCTGAAGATCTCCAGAGGACTTGTTCAAACCAGATTCCTGTTCTGCCCCCTCCCAGATTCTGGTTCTGTGGGCAGGGTCAAGACCTGGGAGTCTGAAATCTTTCCAGGACCCATGTGAGTCTGCTGCAGGCGCTGGGCACCCCTGCTTCACGAATCGTGTTCGACATGGATCCGCCCACATCCACACAGGCACCTCCTCAGGCAGAAGCCACCTCCACGGGCAGGTGAAGGTGGCCAGTGGTCAGAGCCTGCCTATGAGTTCCTCGCCATCTTTCTGCTGATGCACATAAGGCTCCGCTGGGTCCTGTAAGGGGGGAGCAGCTTTGTGATGGGGAGGTGTGTAGACCCTGGACAGGGGCAGTGGACAATGGAGACAGGGGATGACAGAGAAGGTACCAGCACAGAAAGAGTCAAAGAGGCAAAAAGAGTCAAAGAAGATGGACGGGAGTGTGGGCACCTGCTGACGGTGGGAGAGAAGAGGGCGGGCCTGAGAGGTTATTTTATCAGACATAGACAGGCCATGAAAGCCTTGCTCAGCTCAGGAGGGAGGGAGCCAGGGCAGGCTTTCGAGCAGAAGGATGTGACCTGAGACCTGGACCAGGACAGCACGCCAGCCACCATTGGCAAATGGGTAGAGATGGGGGTAGTCTAGGATTAAAGTACTTCAGGGGAACATCAGTGAGGGACCCTATCAAGGTTGGGCTGGGAGTGACCACAGGAAGTGGAGGACAGGAGAGATGCTTAAAGGAGCCACTTCCCTAGAGGATGGATGTACAACGCTCACAGAGGAGGGGAGGACATAGAGATGAGGCAGGAGGAGGTTGGTCCTTCGCGGTGGCAGGAAGAGCACAATGCGTAGGGGAAGACCATAGGTTTGGATTAGGACTGGTGCATGTGAGGTGACAGAGCACTGAGTGCTGAGCCCAGCAAGCCCTGTCCCCACCACCCACCACCACCCTCCATTAGCTCAATGATGTAGAATGGAGGGACAGATGTGAACCAATCCTGGTGAGCGCGAGAGCCTAGACTACAGCCGTAGCCAGGTCACAGGGCCTTCTCTGGTGTTTGTTGTTGGTCTCTCCAAAGCCCGGGACGTTCCATTTAAATACAACCAAGCAAAGAAGGCAAAGCTAGGGCACCCCCAGCACTCGAGGCCCAACCTGGGCCCCCAAGGGTCTTCAGGGCAAGAAACCAAAGTAGTTTACAGGCTCAACCCTTTATTAAGCACCTCCTCTGTCTCCATACAAGCTCTTTCCAGAATTATGGTGAAGGTGTCCATTTTACAGGTGAGAGAACTGAGGCTGGTACTGACCAAATGCACATCCAAGAGGCCATAACTGTGAAGTAACAGAAGCAGAATTTGAAACCCCAGGAGGTCTCTCTCCAAACCCAGGACCCTCCACACAGGACGCACTGTGACAGGGAAAAGGCAGGCCTTCCACAGCAACCTCCAGACCCCTGGCATCTTTAAAGTCCTCTAATCCCACTGCTTCCCAATCATTTGAAATCAGGATTTATTTTTCTTAAATCAGCATTCACTTTAAGTCTCCTTCAAGACTAACTCCAGGGCAGACAGGATGTCATTGGACATGGTTAATTTGCATTCTCTCTGGCTGGGGTTTAGGTCTTGCCTCTGTGCAGAGCCTAACAGAACAGATGGACAGAGCTGGCCTTCCAGAGCTGATTCTTCCACTTGAACCTGCTATTTTTCCTTTAATGGTTTGTGATTGCTGGAAAGGGCAGAGGTTGGGGATATTTCATTTTGGCTCACTGATTATACTTGTTATGTAGACATATACAATTAGAAGCTGCAACTTGAAAAAACTAAATGAAAATGAACTAAGTCTAAATTTTCAAGAATGTAAAAAATTGTTCATGGATTTTTCTGGGATTACCCTTCATACTGGTTGCCCTTTGTGATTCTGCATTGCTAAAATTATGGAAAGCAAGGGAGGAGCACAAAGGGTGGAAAAGAGGTGGACAAAAATCCCAACTTTTTGGAATCTTACAACAGAAAATATACTTAGCCAAAAATATCTTTCTGAGGTTCTACCATGGTCAAGTGCTATATCGGAGGCTGGAGACACAGAATGTATTAGTCTGAATCCTGCAGAAATGAAAGAGAAACCATGCCAGGTATTTCACATGGAGGGAATTTAGTACAGGGGATTTGGAAACACTGAGAAGCCAAACAGTAGATAATGAAGCAGTT